GAGCGACCCTCAGCCTCCTTTCCCCAAGACCCCAGGAGGCAAACGATTTGGGGTGAGGGGTTTAGGATTTAGGGCTTAGGATTTAGGATTCCGTATTTCGGGTTTAGGACTTAGGGCCTTTGGACCCCCTGCCGAAGGAAAGAAAGTCAGTCAACTTAGGAGTTGGCAAATGTATGGAACAAGCGGTGGCAACTTTAAGCCCTCGACTGATGGAACTGAGCCGCAGACCCTAGAAAACACAAACCTTAATAAAAGACGGCCGACCCGAGCCATGACCGTACAGCCCCAATAAGCTGGGTTGCTGTTAAGGGACTTAAATTCAATTACCATAATGGGTATATATAGTAAATAATAGGGTTTCCTCAATATAGTAACTTAAATTAAGTTCCTTAACATTAACCCAGTAAGCTGGTTGTGCTCTTATCTTTCACACAAAGCCCCTCACCTCCAAACCCTACTCCTGCTGCCACGGGTAAAGAAGTCGTTTTGCCGCCCGGCGAACATGGTCGAGGCGTTCGGTAAGCAGCAGATCAAGGGGTCCCACAACTAGCAGAGCTCCTTAGGTTTGAGCACTTTGCAGGAATAATGCAAAGCAATCATGCAGAGACTGTAGAGATATTCGGCAGCCTAAAGAGAGATTCTACAGCATTTCGGAGATACACACAAAACATGAGACGCGTACAATTTCTATGTCATCTGTTGCATGCGTGGTACCGTTGTTGAAGGCGGAACGGAACTCAGCTTCCATCTCGCTCTCTTTCAGCCCAAGTAGAAGGGCCTCCACGACATTGCAAGTTGCCACGTGCTAGGGCCATATTATCAATGCAAGTAGTAGTTACTATGTCAACAACTGATGGGCTGCACACATGTCCTGATCCAACGCAATCCTGTCGTTTCGACCACTAAAGAAGCGCGATCAACATGATGGCCCTTCATAGTCCAGCACTTGCATGCCCGCCTTAGCATAAATACTGCTGCAAGTTATGCCAAAGCCTCACCAGCAGCGACGATGACATCCTTTGCCCGCAAATCCTTGGTCACGCGATCAATTCTTTTTGTGCCACTGGCTCGCAGCGTTCACTGTTTTACACATCCCTCGCCTTGAAATGTAGTTTGCCACGACTACGCTTGGAAAGCCCATTGTCAAGCGAAAGTGGAAAGAATAAGCCCTACCCCTCTTCAAACTAACGCGGAATCCCATATAGCCCCCCTTTGAGAATGACTTTGGTCTTCGAAGGTCCTTTTTCACGTTAGCGCCTGGGGGAATGCACGATATCAGCGCACCATGGAGCAGAAACAAGGAGCCCCGACAATCCCAAAATCTTAGACCGCAAACCCACTCCCAGCTTAAGAGCCTCAAACCTGACTGACTCCTGAACCCCACGCGCTAAACGACAAATCCTGAAGCTTTCATGGAGAACCGCGTAAGTACTGATTCTTGCGCCTGGACAGACCTCAAGCCCTCAACCTGAACTCTGAAACGAGGCCAAAACCCTGAACCCTAAACGCCCAAACCCCAAAACCCCATAAACCCGGAACGCTGCCCAGGCACTGGCTGCCCAGGCCAGGATTCCAAGGACTCGATGAGGTAACCAGCGGAGCAGGCAGATAGCTCCTGAGATCATAGGGGTTTAAGCCTTTTTGGGTTTGGCTTTAGGGTTTAAGGTTTAGGGTGTAAGGCTTACGGTTTAGGATTTAGGGTTTAGGATTTGGGGTTTAAGGCTTAGGTTTCAAGGTTTATGGTTTTGGGTTTAAGCTTCAGGGACTTGGGCAGCTCATGACTTTTACCTGCAACCTATTACATGGGTTTATTATAAGGAGAGAAATGGGGTCTATATGGAGATATGGGGCCAGGGAGATGTAGGGTAGGATATGGGGTGTAGGGCTTAGAACTTATACTGGAGCCTATGTTGCGGGTAGAACGTCATGTAGGGATTTGCAATTCTCATCACGGCATTTGTAGGATTTAGGGCTCAAGGCGTAAGACTGTGGTTCAGGACTTGGGATCAAGAATTTCAGGTTGAAGACTGAGGATTTAGAGATGCAGGATGTAGAGGTGTCGGTCTCGAGGTTTCAGATTTTGATTCAAGGGTTTTTTCAGCTATCCCCTGGGCGGCCCTTTCCACAATTTCCTGCTGAGCACTGAGTAGTTGAGGAGATAGGAGTTCAGGGTTTTAGGGTTTAGGGTTCTGATGAATGGGGGCCCGCTTCTAGACCGTGCTTTGGTGATCTTGAATGAGTAACCCTTGTTTCTGTGAGGCTCTCTGGCAAGGGCCATATTTGAGTTACTTTAAGTCTTGCTGCTGGCCACGTTCCCTGCCACTTCGGAACGACCCAAAACAACAAACAACGTTAACGGTCTAAAATCTGGACCCTACAGTCCGAAGTCTCAACTGTGCAGAGGATCCATGCCAGCACCAGCGTTCGGATCGACGCGGAGCCTGATGGCAAAAAATACGTCACATGAAAGTGAACACTGCCCTGCCTCCACAAGCCCTAGAGTAGCCCTATCAGACCTCTGTCTCTCTCTCCTGTGGACTCAGTTGCTTGTCAGTGATAGACATAAACCTTAAACCCCACACGCTGCAAGACTCACCTCTCAGACCATCTTCCCTTGCTGGATGACGTTGCACTGCGAGAATCAGAACCTCATAAACATTAACATGTATGGGTTTAGGGCTTAGGGTTTAGGGTTCGAGGCTTTGGCGGTTTAAGGGTTCAGGGTTTAGGGTGGTGCGTTCATCGTGAGGATACAACCTCGAACCCGTGCGAAACGTCATACCAACCCTGAAGCCTAGACGGCAGACAACGAAGCCCAAAACACCCCAAACACATAAATCACCGTAAATCCTTCGCAAACCCTACCGCCCTTCTACTTGCTCGGTTATAAAAGGAGTAGACCCCTGTGGTAGTCCCTATCTAACCTCCAGAAATATAATAGCTTCCATCATCTTTACATGCCCTCCTTCCCTTCCAGAAACCAGCAAGCTTGCCCAACTCCCTCTATCCTTTACGCTGAACCCCAAACCTTAAAACTCCTATAGTCCCCCTTAAGTAGGTAGAACATGGCTTTGGGGCTTTGGGTATATTGTAGTAAGATCCCCATATACCCCATATTCTATCTACTTAAGGGGGACTATAACCCTAAACCTTCTAAAGAATCCACATCTTTGCAGCTGTCGAACCTTGCCGTCCTCACTGAGCCAGCAGTCAAGCTGACCTGAGCCGGCCAGTGCTACGGCTTGTCAAATCCAGTCTGCTCGATATGGGGTTTACAGGGTTTGCAGGGCGGGCTTTACAGGGCTTATGGGGCTTACAGGAATTTAGGGCCCATCGGGTTTGTTGGGTGCAAACTGTTGTAGCAAGGATGATAGGCGAAGGACGTTTTGTCAAGGCTGGCAAGGACAACATATTTGGGTGCTGTGGACTGAAAGGTTGTACCGTTAATCGGTCGCATGCACAGTATGTGTGTCTTCTAGGTGAAAAATGGAAGCTCGTGGGTGTAGTCTTTGGAAAGTGCCTTTTTGGTAGCACTTTTCTTTGGAGGAGCGAAATCCTCACATCCCCATGCCCAACCCCTATAATATCTTGATAGAACCCCCACAGGCATCTAACAAGATGAAGCCCTGAAGCGCTAAACTAGCTGGACCCTAAGACCGACACCCCTAAACCCTTACTAAACCTCAAACCCTAAACCCTCGATCCTTAACCCTAAACCCCTACTCCTAAACCTTAAACCCTTAACCCTGAACCCTTAACCAAAGACCCTAAACACTTACGTAATCCCAAAACCCAAGCCCTAAACCCTTAATCCCGACCCTCAACCTTAAAACCGCGACTTCTTTTGGCCAAACGACCTCCGGGCTGGGTTCTCCCACGACAATGGTCCTGAAAGCTGATGAAAATTTAGCTGGGTTGTATCTTTAAAGACAAGGTTCATACGGTTAAATGGTTCAGGGTTTAGGGTTTAGTAGAAGTTTGGGGTTTAGGGTTTAAAGTGTATGGTTTAGGGGGTTCATAAGTTTGGGGTTTAAGGTTTAAAGTGTATGGTTTAGGTAGTTTAAGGTTTAGGGAAACTGGACCCTCATCATGGTACTTATAACCTGTAGGTTCTCTCCCCCAATCCTCCTAAAGCATCTGGACAGTACTTTAAAGATAGGTTCCTTGAAGCAACAATACGGCAACACATTACTTATCCCGGGTTAGGAGTTAGGGGGCATGGTTTGAAAGAGATACTTGGGTTCCGGAATTAGGGGTTGAGAGTGAGCGGATCTGTGGTTCAATCTAAGGTCTCATGCTTCTCCTCCTCCTCCTTCTTCTTCTTTTCCTCTTGTTTTTCCCACTACCGTCCGACGTCCTTCTTGGCTTAAAATCAGCCACCTGTCAGCTTTGTCAGCCTACACCTTTGGATTCGGAACTGGAGCCCACAAGTACTTGAAATCTCCAGTTAAAGGCTTTCAAAACTACGGGCCCTTTCTGCAGGTTCAGAGTGCTGAGGATTCTTGGGCGGGAATGGATCACGGCGACCCCGCTCGAGAAAAAATACCTGCTTCCTTCTCAACTACTTCTGCAGTCTGCTACGAGTGATCCTTCTCCCGCTCAAGTAGCACTCGGTTCCTGCTCTACATTCTAGAAACCCCCCATGGATTGATGGCATAATGAAGCCCAAAGCACGAAGTCCACAATTGATCTTGAAATCAAGCTCTCAGAATCAAAAGCATCACTTTGAAAACCGCCCGTGAAACGCTTCAGCTTCAGGCTTCATGATGCTTCATGCAAGTGTCCATTTTGTTCGTCCCTCCCCTTGCATGGGGGGTGGGGGTTCGGGGGGCGCTTCTCCCCTGGATCTGTTGGGTTGAGGGAGAGGGATCCTTGTCAGATCGGCCTCAGGACGAATCCTTCTTCCTATATCCTGACCCCCAAGCCTACACCCAAGGCCCTAGTTCCCAACCCCAATTACATCCAAATCCTAAACCTCATTACACTTTAAAGCCTGAACCCTAAACCAAGCATGCCCCCTGAAACCCAAAAATCCAAAACCCAGTGCTCCTGTCATGAAAGTGCTCCAGCTTTAGGCAAGGGTAGTAACCATCACGCGAAGAGCCGATCATGTCCAGGAGCTCAAACTGAATGGCTTTAGGTTTCAAGACGACTCAAGGCATTAAGATTTGGGGTCATGGGGTTGGTTCTTTCGGCTTCGGGCTAAGGATTAAACAGCTTCGGATGTAGAGATTTAAGACGAAAAGGGTTTTGGATTTAGGTTGTTTTATGTTTTAAATCCCGTCAGCGTATGATCTATGTTCCAGGCCGGCTGCCCTAGTAATGATCACAAGGGTGAACTGTGATGAGCTTAAGCGCAGGGTCGCTCTATATCGCTATTGTACCAGTATACTGGTGGGCACCCGAACCCAAGGTTTATTGCGCTGAAGGTGTAAGTTGCATGGTAGGGTGGTAATGATTCCTGGCCAGTTGTAGGCCTTCACGGTACTTTCGGGCTGTCGAGCTCGGGTTTTGAAGGCTTCGGGCTTAACTTGTAACCAACAATACATCTATATGTTATGGGGGCTTCCCAAATTAGGGGTACCAGTTTGGGGACCCCCATAACAAGGACTATACTATTTTGGGGTCTATATTGGTGTCAAGAGGAATCCTAGTCATGGCATACTGACCATCAATGAGATCGTTTTATTGTCATTGAGCTACAAAGCTCCCCTATTGCAGACCCCTGGACAGGAGGGGTCAAGACCGGGCTGCCCATGGTGTCGCGACACTAGCAGCCCCTCAAGCCTAAAACCCTCACACTTAGTAGGGACTGGGCGGAATGGATTACCAAACCCTAAGCCCTCACGACTCCACTGCCCCGAGCCGAGCTGAGGGTTAGGGTTGCCCCGCCTCTGTGCAAATCTGGGTCCCGAAGAACACATCCCTGAGCTATGGGGGCAGATGAGGGCACACAGCTTTGGGATTGTTCGGCTTCAAAGGAGATGGCATGTCTGACCATGTTTGTTATGAGGGGAGGGCTTGGCACACTTGATGTCAAGGTTCAGTTTAAGGGTTTTGGGCACATATTTGTTCGAAACGATTGCGACTCCTGCTTGTGATCGCATTTTTTGGGCAGCAAACCAGAAAAAACCATCCACGTACGTGAGGGCTTCTCCAAAACAGGGTATCCTTATGGACCGGAGACCCCAAATATATCTTCTGGGGACTATGCATGCGGGCATGGATTGATTTCCCCGTTTGGGTTATGCGGACGGGACATGGCAAAACATCCATGCATGAAACCACCGCCCTGCATTTTGATATAGATCAGACTTCTCGGAACTCTCCCCCCATGCCAGAAAATCTCAGACTTCAGAATTGATAGAACCCTAGAGGACACCTCAAAATAGAGGGCGAAGCGTGCTGTTTGCAATCGCAGCTCTTGACCAACCCTTTGGACGCCTCAAAGACTAACCTCCAGAGACTTGGATGGCGCTAATACTAAAAGAAATTGTTTCTTTCACCGGTTTCTGGCCTCCAGGCATCTAAGTCATCGCAGGTCACCCGTAACGAGCGCAGGCGGCGCCTCGCTTGTTGCCAAGAAACTATAGACTCCGGCAGCATACAGAAACAACGGTGTCGGTACCCTGACTAGGGTCTTCATGGTATGATGGCATCAGGTCAGTGTCCACTTATGCTTCATCATGGTCGCCGTTGACATGGCAGCAGCTGCGGCGGCTGCTGCTGCTCTAGCTGCAGCTCTGGTACCCTTTGGCGAGTGAATACACTATGCTGCTAACAAGATCACCTGGCTATGAAGCTTGCACTGAAACATTACGCCGCCGAGGGGCTTCTCTGCGTCCGTCTTCGCGTGTGCCAGCGCTTTAGAGACCTGGGAAAGACGTACTTGAAACCCATTGCAACAATGAACAGGGGGCTTCAAACTTTTCATCAATAAAGACTACCATGGAGCAGGTGATAGCGATGCCAGAAGGAAAAAAGAAACACCCTACCCCTGACCACCAACCCCGGCGACCCTAAACCCTAACCTGCAAACCCCATAAACCCTAGGCCAGCTTTAGCCCTGCCACCTTGATGAACGACGCGTGCGCTTTGAAATCGTGTGGTTCTTCGTCTTCTGACAACCATGACTTCGCGCTTTCCTTTCAAGAATTGACGCAAGCTTGTTAATTGTTTATGAGAGGCTGTCCAAGAATTTGTTGAATGTGCCGGTTGCATGGGAGCTTCATCGTGTGGAGCTTTGCAGGCAACAAGCGGCTACAAAAAGCGATCCCGCAGTGTGACAGTGTGGGAATATGCGTGGCAGCCCTTGCGGTTCTCCAGAAAAAGAAATGAATTACTCATGAGAAGGCCAGGTTTCGTCCAAGACTGGAAACCCATGTTGCATGAACGTGGTAGCCAGGATGTCGTGGATATCTTGCAGCATATCGTGTGGCTCAGTCCGCAGTCGCGTGAACAGTATCTGACCGTTGAAGCAACTAATGCCACTTGCAATAATCTTCACAGGTTGGTCTCCCAGCATGTCACCTGAGTATCCATGAGTCAACAAAGAAGATTTGGGTTGTTGAGGGCAAGCCCATCTGATCATGGGAATGTTAAGGTGGTAAAGAAACCCAAATCAAGCACATGCCCTTTAAACCAACCGAAACAGGGGTCCTAAACGTGATCCAGCGGCGGATTTCCTCGCCGGCTTCGTGACACGCCTGCGCACGAAGCAAAACCCCGGTATAGCCACTATCCTGGTACTTCTCAACCCTGCAAAGCTTTGACCCAACCGGCCACATACAGTCCCCATCGCCTTGGTGAGCTAAGCCCGCTTGACTCAACTCGACCACAACACCCAGCCATTTTCAAGAGGACTCTTCATTTTTGGGTTCCTACATACCGAATAATATATACCTCATACACACCCAAGGCCCCTGGAACTTCTAGATCAAGCTACAGGCCCACTTTAATATTGGGGGCGCGCACCTGCAACCTCAGACTGTAAGCCCCAGCAATGTTATAGCAGTAGTCCCCACATAATCTAAATAGTATAGGTGGACCCCCACCAAGTAGTAAGTAGTAGTGACTGGAAGGGATAATACATTTTTAGGGTCCTCCTATATTCCTTCTATACCACTGGTATACAGGGTGGGGGGGTCCACCTAACAAATACAATGATACAAATACAAACCTGCTTACTTGCTAGCAAGCTGATGGTCTCCTTATCTGTGCACTGTGCGGGCTCTTATTCCCTGAAGGACCCCTAAAGGAACCCCATCTCAAGCGATCACTAACCTGTCTAAACTACATAAGCCTGTCCCTAAACGGCCCTGAACCCTAAACCCTGAGCGGCCCTCACCCTAAACTGCCCTAAACTGTTAACTCTGAACGACCCCAAATCCTAAACGCTAAACGGCCCTAAACCCTAAACAGCTTTAAACCCTAAACTCGAGGCGCCCTAAACCCTAAACCCCCTAAACACCCTACAAACCTTTACCCTAAATCTATGTCGGTGTTGCCTCCTGAGCCTCGCCACGCCGTTCCTGCGAATGCTCTGGCACGGCTTAAAACTTGCCGGGTTAGGGTTTAGGGCGTTTAGGGTTTAGGCTTTGGGGGGAGCATATCTATGAAAAATCCAAGCCTAACGCAAGCCACCCCAACACCCCAACGCTAGTGCTTCGAATGTCGAGTTGTTGTGTCTGCAGGCTGGCACAACGTTTTCGAATTACATTGCTGATAGATGCTCCTAATTGTTGCTGGAAATCGTTTGATGCTATCCTGCAACCACGAAAACTTTAAACCCTAAACCCAAAACTCCTAAACCCTAAACACCTAAAAATCTAACGGTCGGATTGTTGAAAAATAGATACGTTTGATTGCTACTCCATATCCCTGAGGCCCTGCCTTCACTACAACTAGTGCTTTCAAGGGAAAGTGGTAACTATATTCAGGTCCGTATATCTTCCTAGCATACCACGGGTCCTGGGTTCGGGGCCGAACCCAAACTATGGTACATGTGGGACATCTATATAGAATTCATGTAACACATAGTGAACCAGATCTCCAGGCCGGGGTTAGGATAGTCGTGCACGGAGCCAGGCAAGGTTTGCAAACTTACACATGTACCATGTAGAAGCCTGGAGAAGTATAGGTGTACTTTTGAAGTCGATTGGAGGCACCCTATACAATAATTCTACAAAGAATCTCGAATCACCTACACCGGTCTCTGCGGGTATCGCATTATACTGCGTAGCATCATCACCATTTCTGAAACTCTCTCTGCATGCAACAAACTCAGGAAGCGACATTAGGAATGGATGTCAGCAACAACGACGAGTGAAGTCGCCGAACCGGCACCAAGCATTGCTCGAAGAGCGGGTTCTTGGCAATGAACCATTGCTGCATCTGCTGCACATTGCGGCGGATCCTTGTCGTGGGGCAAGTCCCTGTAAACTGTAGCTCCCACTTCATTTTGCAATTGGGTGTTTCCATGTGATTTTCCACAATTGGGTAAAACTCACTAGTGGTCAGTAGGGAATATAACCCCTATTTGGTACATTCCCTTAGTCCTTGCTAACCCCCATAAAGAAGATGCTCATATCTCAGCTTTGGCTATGATCAGCTCTACTCTGTTCTGAGGTCTAGTGCCTTTTGATGTACACGGGCCAGAACCTTCCTGAACACGGATCCAGGCTCATGCGCGAGAAAAGCCTGATGGCCACAAAGTGCGTAGGCCGCGCTCTAGCAGCGCGGGGCTCCGGGATGTTATACCGCCTGCGGGCTAAGCCCCCCAATGGCCCAGAATCAGAAGAAATTGGGGTTATATACGGAAAATGGAGATAGAATGGAAACTGCAGGGATTATAGGGGTTTTATAGGGGTTATATTGGGGTAAGTTGTGTAGGGTGGACTCAAAAATTGGGATTTGAGGTTTAGGGTTTAGGGCCTGATTGGGGTTGAGTTGGGGGTTATTCTGGGAAGCCTTGCAAAATGGCTCTGGGGAAACTGAGAATGCACTTCTGCGCTTGCGTGGGTGTTTCTCCAAGCTACTAACTAGCCCCTGCTTGCTTTTTTGGCTAAACCCTAAGCTCTACCTGGCGTAACCCTGTACCTAGTAACAAGTAGAGATACCCAAATATTGGGTACTATGCTCCTGTATAGTTGAGGACTGTCAAAACCGGGCTTGGCGCACGCCCCACATCGAAGCACAGACGCTAACCCTAGGCTGTCGCAAGGTCCGGACACACATCTCAAAACCCTGATAGTCCCCCTTAAGTAGATAGAATATGGCTTTGGGCATATTATAATAATATGATCTCCATATACCCCATAGTCTATCTTTTCAAGGGGGACTATAACTTCATGGTAAACAACCTTGAAGCCTCAACCCTCTAAACCCTTGCTCCACGCCTCCTCTTGCCCTTGCTCCCTTTGCCTTTGCCCTTTCCTTGGTTGTTGTTGGAGCTCGTTTTTAAGTCCAAAATCCTGCTGTTTCTTTGCTTTTTGCAAAACAAGACACGGTTATTTTCGCCCGGAAGCTCCCAAATCACTACGCCTGCCCGAACAATTCTGGCTGCAAAACTCTGCCAAGCACGGCTGAAGCACCTTTTGCCCCACAGCCCCCATCTCTTTCCAGAAGGTTTGCTGTGGGCTCCTTCTCCCCACGATGGATGGCCTTGCAGCAAGTTTGCCGACCAGCACATGCATTAGTCAAGGCTTTGGGCTTTGTGTTTTAGGGGTTTTGGCCTATGGTCTAGATTGGAAAGCTTCAAGGTGGGAGGATGTGCGGGGATTGGACCTACTTGAAAAAGACTGGGCGCAGCATTGCCCACAATCAGCTCATGCCGCACTCCACACAAAGCCTGACCCCCTAACCCTTTTTCCCAAGGCACGGTCTTCACCATCAACCTTAGCCAAATATATCTTTCACATATTAAATATGAGCCAATTATCATCATTTTAGGGTACGGTGCCAGTATTATTACGATGCTCAAATATATAAGTACTTATAAGCCAATTATCATTATGTAATTTTATTTATATCGACAGGGTAACATCTCGCATCCGCTCCCCTAAACTGTAAACCCTAAACCCTGAACCCTAAACCCTAGACGTTAAACCCTTAACCCTAAGCCCTAAACCTTAAATCCCAAACCCCTAAGCCCTAAACCTTAAACCCTGAACCCTAAACCCTATAAACCCTAAGCCGTAAGCCCTAAACCCTGAACCCTAAACCCTAGACCAAACCCTGTACAAACCCTAAGCCCTAAACCCTCCTCGCGTCGGCCTCTTGTTCTGCCCAGAACTCGTCGAACCCTGGTGGCTTGCTGACGTCGCCCAAGCGCTGACCGGCCCAAGGATCGAAAGTTTCGGAACTCATTGCAGGCGTGGATTTGGCCCTAAACGTTGACTCTAAAAACCTACACCCTGAAACGCTAAACCCTAAAGCCTTAAAATCCTAAAACCCTAAAGCCCTAAACCCTAAAACCCTGAAACCCTGAAACCCCAGCCAGCTGTAAACGGATGTTGTATGGCTTGGCAGGTTTGATTGAACCAAGTAAGGTTACATTCTTTATAAAAATCCTACACCTCAAAAAGAGGATGTACTCTTTTCTATATTGTGGAGTATCGTATCCCCAAAATACTATTCTTATGGTGTTGAGTTCATTTTTTGTATGCGCCCTTGCTCGAGACTTCAGGCTATCACGCTCAGGGCTTTTGGGGGTTACCGTTCTGGCTTAGGATTTTGTTGGCTCAGGTTCTTGATCTGAAGTTTCCAAAAATTTAATAGCACAAAACCCAAACGTAAGATGATTGCCCTTTAATCCCCAGAGTTTTAATCATACTTGTGGCCGCTTCAGGAACTCTCGAGCAGAAAAATCTAGCAGCTGCAGCCCGAGATAGTGCCAAGAGAGATAGCTTTACAGATTTGGGTTGAAGCATTGGGTGTGTGGCTTTCCTGGTTAGGGTTCAGGCCTGTCAGGGTAGCATTAAGGTCATAGTTGTGGTCAGGAATTCTTGGCTGGCTTCTTCTTATCAGTCTTATCATAACCAAAGCCGCCTCCAACGAATCAAATGGCGCTCCCCACCCGCCTACTGTTGCATGCTATTGCGGGAACATCACCGAAGTTCGCCAACGGCAAACCAGTAATCTTACTGGGGGCTACTAGCGAATAAGGGGATATACTGTATAGGGTTTACACAGGGATTATATTCCCTTATTCCCTACTGACCGTCCTAAACCCTAAACCAACCGTATAGTAACTGGGTTCCAAAGCCCCTGGCTTCCCCCACGTCGCTTGCTGAGAGCTCCACTCTGCGCGGTGCCGGAGCACCTGCCTCTGACATGAGCCAGTGTCTAAACTCCTAGCATCCCTCTTAATAATTCCTATAGTAGTCCCCTATATAGTCCCCCATATAAGCCCCTTTAAGGAGTTTAGACTAGAGCTCACATGGCTTTTGTATAAAGCCTCTAATGGCAACGTCAAGAATATAGCAGGACCTTGCAGGGTCATTGTATTCTCATTGAGATCCGACTAGATTCTTGGGGTTCCCTGTTCCCATTAAAGTCCTTTTATTGTGAAGGTGCCTGCAGGAGTGAAACTGAAGGGCACCAACAAATTTCAAAAAATCAGGGGTCACCCTTGTATGCCGCTCAAATGCCTTAAGCTTCAGCATATCGAAACACTACGAGTATAATGCCTATCACACCCAGGGACTACACTGGACACCCACAGGCTACAATCCCTGAAAATTGGAAGAGCCTAAAGGATGCTCCGCGCTTGACATACTGAATTGGGGCTTCTTGGAAAGACCTTCTCTGGTCTTCCCCTAAGGGTCCGGGTATCCAACAATTGAGTACTTTGGATTGGGCAACAAGATCTAATTTGTAGTACATGTGTCAAAGCAGTATATCATTACCCAGTGCTTGGTCTCTTAAAACGGCTCCCTGAGCTTGCATCTTCTGACTGAACCAAAGGCCCTCTGATGTCATTTGAGGCATGCCCAAAAACATAGGAGTGCATTTTTGCAGCGCAGTCTTCTACCTTGGATCAAAGTGCATGCACCTGAATCATACACTATTACTACTCATACTATTACCATATCAGGATTGTTACTAGACTACTCTATTACCATACTACTATACTCCTATTACTATCTTTACTACCTTATTACCATAGTCTTACCATTATGGTTATAAGTTATAAGGGCTACGCTGGCCTTCTGATTCGGGCCCTCGCTGCTGCATCTTCCTTGGAATTGAGGATTGGCTGGGGTTTGAGTTTGGACTGTTAAAGGCAGGTGGAAGTGGAAGGTTCAGGGTCTAAAGTTGGAGCTCGTGACCGAGGTTGGAGTTCCTGCCTTTTGCTTTCTCTGCCGGCACCTTCAACTAGCAGGATGCTCTAGGACCCTTGGAAGAACAGCCCTAGACCCTCTAAACCCTAGTGCTCCATGTTCTCTGCTACGCTCCAAGGTGTAATCACCTGCACTGAAGCCCAAGAAACAGAGGAGAGCAACAAACAGACAGTGGCAGACTTTGAATGCAATGAGAATACTCCCTGATGCCATCCTGCTAGAAATCCTTTTGTGTGCGCTCTTTCTTCCTTGTAGGCCGTGCCTGGCCGGAGGAGGCTTTGACAATAACAGTAAATGGAAGTTTCTCAACATGGCCCCACAGAATCCTGCACAGCGATCTGCCCCAAATTCACCTCCCCCCCAAGTCACAGCTCCCACTCCCCCTCATGTTTTCTTTGGAAAGCATCTTTTGTAAGCCTTTCAATGCAGTCTATTCAAGGAAGCGCAAAGAACTCCTCCCAATGTGCAGCCATTGGATCATCTGTCGTCGCCACCGCCTCTCCTGCTCTTCGCGAGTGCGCCGCTGGCGCTTCCACTCTGACCTTGCCGTCGGGACCCGAGGGTTTAGGGGTTTAGGGCTTATCTTATAGGGGACTACTAATTATGAAGAAAGATACTAGGACTGTGCCAAAACTGCCTAGGGCTTGGGGGGTTGTCAGGATTTTGCCAAAACTGCTAGGGGTTAGGGGTGGTGAGGGTTGCCAAAAGGGCGACCTTATGTCTGTGTATGTTTACCAAAAGCCGATGTACGATCTGCAGCAGATCTGCCAAAAGTTTTGTTTGCATACGCACGCTTCAGCACTGCAAGTGGAGCAGATAGCATGCACAACGTGCAGTCGTTGTGGGCCAGTGTTCTACCAAACGATGGCAGCGCTAGTACCTAAACCCTCCGGACGACTTGCTTTATAGAATTGGTTGCCATGTCACTACGGCAACTCAGTGTGGCAGAAAAAGAAGCTCCCCTCAACTTAACTATGTGCACATGAGACGTAGCAGCTTCTGGCGCGACCTTTGTAGCTTAGCATGCTACGAACAGTGTCGCCCAAGCGTTGCAAAAAGGGGCGGTGACCCAACCCCACCACTTTGCCAAGAAGAGCCCTTGACCTTGCGACTGGGTAAAATGTGTTCCCAGGGATTGAACTAAGGCCATTTGGGACTGTTGTCTACAAAAGCACCATTGCGGGGTGAGATCGGGTGAGGTCACTGTAAGTTGTTTAGCTTGGATCCGCCAAAGACAAAAAGAAGAACCGAGCGAAAGGAACGACATCGAGCACCTCGAAGCAGCTGTCAAAGCTTCTTGGGGAACAGCTTCTTTCTGAAGATGCTGCCTGAACCATCCGGTTTATTGGCTTGCTGTTAAGGAACTCAACTTAAGCTACTACGTTGGGAGAATCTACATATTCATTCGGTGTTTAGCCA